TAGCATGTATGACTGCCGAAACAAAATTACTTATTTTGATCGATGGGTGACATTGTACTTCAGCATCAGTTTAAGTAATAAGTAAATTCTTTCTCTTTATCGCATAAAACATGATGTGGTAATTGGTATAAGGATAAATTAGGGATTGTGCTGCTGTTCTGAAGGAGAAAACCAAAAGCTTGGAAAGATGGAACACTGGCAGCTCACATCTGTCAGTCGCTCGACATTTCAGCTTTCTTCTTAAAGTGCTAAAAATATTTTCCTCTGAATTAGTTTGGCCTATTCTTAAGATTTTTGCTTTATTCTTAATATTTTGGATGTATTTTTCTCTACATTCAGACTATATTCATACAATACAAAAAGACTTAGTATTTAGTCTTTCCAAAACTTTGATCTCAATAACTCATCTATTTGTAGGAGGATAAAATATGAATGTATGCCTCTCTGTCTTTTCCAGGACACCTACAGCCGAGATGACTGCACCTTCAGAGAGCAGATTTTACCAGATGGGTACAACGTCTACATCTCTGACAAACACGGAGCACTGCTCAGTTTAGGAAACCAGCGGCAAAGGCTGCAGGGTCGAGACAGAGGTGTCCCAACACTGGCTCAGTTCCTTCCTAGGATAAGCATTCTGGAACAGGCCTCAGCCCCAGGATGGGGCATTCCTGACCAGCCAGGGCTGAGTGCATCACAAACAGAAGAACCTGTGGACTCTATGGACTCATTTGGAAAGCTCTCTCAGATCATTCACAGTCCCAGCTTCCACAAGAGATGAGACAGTAGCTCTGAGACATCTGTAAACACATGTGACCTGGCGTGTTTTGCTTTGTCTGAGGCTGATCACGCCTCCTGACATGTTGCTGAACCTGGGACTGACTGCTTGTCCAGCCAGCCTGCACCTGGAAAGGTTGCTGTGAAGTCTTTCCAGCACTGTCCTGTCAAATAAGACCAAGTGCAGTGTCCTACAGAGTGGAGAATGACACCAATATTCAGTATAACATTTCTGCCTGTTATTTTCAGTTACAACCTTTGTTCTCAAACAACACAACCATACATGAGGTTTTATCCCTATCCCCTAATACAACAAATAGGAGCATGAATTAGATATCCAACTGTTAAAAATCACTGTTGGTAAATAAATAACAATTTCATAATATGACAATGCTGTAGTAATGGCTGCAACTTGGTTGGGTTTTAGGAAAGATCATGGTTGGGTCAAAATCATTTTTTGTTAAGGTTAGAGGACCTTTGCTGTCAAGGACAAAGGGAGGCCCCACCTTGTTAAGCCCGACATGACAAATTGCGATACAAATTGGCTATACAAATTAAATTAAATTTGATTGATTGATGTTTCAAATAATAAACACATGGTTATAAACGGTAATGGTTTAAAACAACACAAAAAGGTCTTTGGTTTGAAATGGGAGAAGAACAGGTGTCTTTCAGGTGAAATTAAGTTTAAGTTTTGAAGAACCATTTCTTTATCCATCTCTGTCACTTTATAACATGACCAAACATCCTCCTTGGCTCCTGTCATAATTACTGCACCACAAGAGGTCACTGTCACACAAATGTAAACATGTTTGGGGGCATCTACTGACTAGACTAATGCTGTCTCACACAACAACCAGATGTGGCAAAACAATTAAATATAACTATGGTTTGAAAGATGTTCTACATAATCAACTGATGGGGTTGATTTTTAGGGCAGACATTTACTGACCAAACAAATGTGCTTGATATCCCTCTATGAAATGAGCCTATGCATAACAAGTGTGTTTGAAAGATTTGGTTGGACTAAAGAGAGAGTGACAATAAATGATAAAAGATCACCACAAAGTGAAACTGGTAAAAGGAATTACTATAGAGTAGTACTTATTCTTGACAATTTTATACCTTTTATTATTCTTATCTATCCCTCTGTCTATCAATCTATTTATATATCTGTCAATCTATCTATCTATTTATCTGAAATGAGTCACACTGAAGGGCAGTGCTACATTAAGGTGCAACTAAATCTTATCATACATCAAATATTCTGCCTTTCACAGTCTTTCTGGTTAGAACAGTCAAATGTCATTCTCAAAATATGTTTTTATGCCACAAGAGTCTCAGCTTCAACTTTCTCAGTGAAGTGTGGCAGGGAATATAATCAGGATCATAGTCACCACCTGAAAAAAGTATTGTCATCTTGTTATGAGTTATATGTATTGTTTGATATAAGTTATTTAAAAATCCAACAGTATGAATGTTTCATTTTGAATACACCTTTGGAAATTTTTTAATAAATGGCAAAGCATTCAAATAGGGTCACTGTGGGTTATCAATGTTCTCCCTGCAGTGAGGTCCTGCCTTTGTCCTTGCCTTTGCCAATTGTTTGCTCAACCTCATTTCGCTTTGCCTTCGCAAAATGGTTCCACTTTATCCCTGCCTTAGCTGAAATCATCCAGATATAGCATCATATTAATTTGTTCATTCTGCATATTCCATTTTTTCATTTATCACTAATATTATATTATCTGTTGTTTCAGTTCTTGCTTTAGCTTACTACTCACTTCTACCTACTGCCCAATTCATGTCCATTCCTTCCTGCCAGTAACCCCTTGTAGAGTCTCTTCAGTTCCATTGTTCTTTGCCAGATTACCATTGTTATACCGGTATACATTTTCTCTTGCATTCCTGTTGCTCTCTTGTTTAAAGGGATAGTTCACAGAAAATGGAAAATTCATTCATTACTACTCAGCACTATGCTGATGGAGGGTTGGGTGAAGTTTTTGAGTTCACAAAACACTTTAGGGGTCTATGGTAAACAGTGTTACAGCCAAGGTGGCCTCTTCTTCAGATGTAAAAGAAAAAAAAACACAACTGCTTGTGTTGTGTCATCCAAGTGTCCGCAAGCCCTGACATTTATATTCGACTCGAAACAGTGTCATTCACATAGTATTTTAAGCCTAAAAGACCACAACACATGCAAACAAAAATCAATTTGTCTCAATGTGTGACATCCTCTGCCCTTAACCCTCAACAAGAGTACTGTAAATAAAAACTACCATGAAAACACTATTAACAGGAGAAAAAACATCAGAGAGCCACATGTGAGGGATCCCTTTCCCAGGACGGACAGAAGTGCAATAGATGTCTCATGTAACAGAGAACATCAGTAAAATAAGAGTATTTAGGCTAAAAACACTGTGTAAATGATCTAGTTTCATGTCGAATATGAATGTCAGGGCTTGCAGACACTTGGATGACACCAGACGAGCAGTATGGAGGCATGTTCTGTTTTTATGTCTGAAGAAGGAGTCCCATTTACATGAATTGTATTGGATTTGGTTTACCCCTGAGACTCCTAAAAGTGTTTTTTGCAGACTTCACCCACCCCTCCATCAGGTTAGTGCTGAGTAGATAATGAGTGAATTTTGATTTTTTTGGTAAACTATCCCTTTAAGGACCCATATTTGATGGGGGTTTTTTGCTGTGTATTATTCCCTGGATACTCAGTTTGACAGGTAGTTCCAAATGTCTTTTCTTTCCTGATTACTGAGGCCACGGTCGCGCCGGCAGTGACCACATCTCTGTCCCCTACTCTGTCCTCTTGAACCCCCTGTCTCCCAATCAAGTTCTTATCCCGGTAACCTCCACCCTCCCAACTACCTGCCCCTTGACCCCATCCCTTCTCACATCCTCCAGTCTATTGCTCCCAACCTTCTTCCTTTTCTCACCCATCTTATTAACACTTCCCTGTCAACTGGCTGTTTCCCTAACTCTCTAATGGAGGCACGAGTAAACCCTCTCCTGAAGAAACCCACCCCCAACTTGTCTGAAGTAATCAACTACAGACCTGTCTCTCTTCTTCCCTTTCTTTCCAAAGCACTTGAACGTACTATCTTTAATCAACTCTCCTCCTATCTTCACCATAACAACCTTTTTGATCCTTACCAGTATTGTTTCAAGACAAAGGAAAATCAACCAAGCTACTTTTCCTTCTAGGGAAAGGCTCTCCCACCCATGACCTTACTATCACCATTGACAACTCCGTGGTAGCTACCACCCGAACTGGTGGAGTGAGCGTGGAGCTGAGAATGGTGTGTGAATGTGGAAGTGATAGTGGTTTTGATACAAACTTTACTGAGCTTTATCTTTGGGTTATTGTTTGTTAATGTTGTTTTTTTCAGTTTTGGAATAGTGGTGATCCACCATACCTTTAATCCTGTTCTCCCACTTGTAAACCCAGCCACTAAGGTGATAATTTCCAATGCAATATTTTTAAAAGGTGTTTTATTCAACCTGTGGGTTGTTCTGATCATCTTTTAGTCTCCTGCTCTGTTTTTATCAAAAATGTCAATTTAAACAGCGCCTGTTGGCATTTTAACACAGCCCTTTTAAAAGACCTGGCTTTTAGAACTGCTTTTAAGTTGTTTTGGTTTTCCCAAAGAGAGAGCAGACCTGCCTTCAACAGCATTGAGCAGTGGTGTGACTTTGGGAAAACCCAAATAAAACAACTTTGCCAGAAGTTCACTCGCAATGTCACCAGAGATGTAACCCAGACTATGAGGGATCTGGAGAGACAGGTAGAAGACCTACAGTCTTCAGTAGCTTCTAAGAAATCGAGGGGCATTTAGACTCCCGCAAGTCCAAACCTGCTGATCTTTTCAGCACAGGGAGCTCTGGTCAGAACATCTCACAGATAGATACCTCGTCCCAGTTCGTCTTTGGGTTGGAGCAGAAAAATGGACAAAGGACGGCCATTCACTGTTTACAAACAGGTAGCGGCTCTGAAGTCTCAGACTCATCTAAGATCAGGATGTTTGCTGCCGGTTTCTATAGAGACCTTTTTAAGATTGAGTGGTCAAGTAATCCAGATGGGACAGCATCCAGACAGCATTTTCCTGAATGGCCTCCTTCAGGTCAGCAGGAGTAACAATGCAGAGCTAGCTGCAGAGATAACACTGCAAGAGCTGCACAGAGCCACCATGAGCCTGCAGATCTCCAGGGATAGACGGCCTTCCTGCTGACTTCTTTATGTCCTTTTCGTCCATCATTGGACAGGATCTGCTTGAGGTAGTAAACAACAGTCTCCAGAATGGAAGGCTCCCTCTGAGCTGCAGGAGGGCCGTCATCACCCCGCTGCTGAAGAAGGGAGATCTGCAGGACCTGAAGAACCGGAGACCGGTCTCTCTGCTGTGCATGGATTACAAAATCCTGTTCTAAGCTCTGGCCCTCAGACTGAGGGAAGTAATGGCGTCCATCATCCACCCTGACGAGACTTACTTACTCATTAGTGACAATATCACATGATTTGAGATGTTTTGGACCTCTCCAGTTCATTGGCAGTAGATACTGGTCTTATTTCCATAGACCAGGAAAAGGTTTTTGATCGGGTTGAACACCAGTATTCATGGCAGACTCTGGCTGCTTTTAGGTTCAGCCCAGGCTTTATAGCCATAATCCCGGTTTTCTATACTATATATGAGTGTTCTGAAAATAAATGGTGGGTGCTCCGTTTAACATCCAGAGAGGTTTGAGGCAGGGCTGCTCTCTCTCTGATATGTTGTACTCTCTGGCCATTGAGCCTCTGCTCCATAAGCTAACAATGGTTTTAAAAGGTGTGTGTGTTTCCCCCAGTGCATTGTGTCTTTCAAATTATCAGTTTATGCAGATGATCTCATCGTGCTTGTAAACACACAAAAGATTGATATTTTAACTGACACTGTAAATAACTTTGGTTTTATGTCTTCTGCAAAGGTGAACTGGAGGAAGAGCAAGGCTCTGGTGGTTGGAGAGAAGCTGGGGGATTGGCTCAGGCTGCCTGGAGGCCTGGTCTGGAAAAGGGGAGGACTCGAATTCCTTGGAGTCTTCCTGGGAGATGAGACACACATGAAAAAAAATTTGGACAATGTCTTGGGAAAGGTAAAAGGTTGTTTGTTAAAATGGAAGTGGCTGTTACCAAAGATGTCCTACAGAGGCCAAACACTTATTACAAACAACCTAGTCTTATCTACTCTTTGGCACCGGCTGGCCTATGTCGATCCTCTACCTTCTCCCCTGGCAGAGGTACAACAAGTAATTGTTTTCCACATGGAATTTTGATTTTGTTAATTGAATCCTGAGCCTTTCCATTTTCCCCCTTTGTTATATTTGCTATTTATATCAAGTTGGTTATCAATAGCCCATATTTTCCACATTGCTGTGCAGTTTAATTCACAATTGGTACTGTTTCAGTATTTTTTAACATATGTGACAAACAAATACGTTTATCAGGAAAGTCATGCTTCCCGTCCTGTTTATTCTAGACATAGGTGGAGTTGATCTATCATATACATTTTGACCACTATACTTAAACTGGCACACCGACTGTTTCAGCAAGTATTGTGCAAAGGGAACAAGAGAGAGCTCGGCAGTCAGCATTCAAATGTTCATCAGTCAGTGAAAGCCCCCAAAAAGGCTAACAAAAGTCAGAAGCATGGTGACGGTACACCATGAAGCTCCAGAAACACGCCCTGCATCGAGTGTCCAATGAAAAGTGAAGCTGAGAGGATGCTGCAGCTGAGCTGTGATCGACACAGCAGCAAAGTCTCATACGGTCGTGTGTGTGAGTGAGTGTGTGTGTGTGTGTGTGTGTGTGTGTGTGTGTGTGTGTGTGTGTGTGTGTGTGTGTGTCTCTGTGTTGCTCCTCCTCGACTGACTTTTCGATTGAAGAGTGTAAAGGCACATCAACCGGAAACCAAACTTTTTTCTTCAGCTTTTTTTTTCTCTGAGGCAAAAGAGGAAAAGGAGACGACGCTTTATTTCATGAGGCCCTCACAGTTCCTCATTTCGGTCATTTACGTGTGCTGTTGGAAATGTGTCAGCTGTCTGGAGAAGCGACCACTTTCTACCGAGGGTAAAGCGACGTCGACGGAATTCAGGCCAGTCTTAATCACGTAACGGATTTTGGCCCTCTATCATGGAAGATGTGAGTAGTGGCTTCACCACACTGTGTTACTGCGCTGCTTGGCAATGTTCGGCGGTTTGCATTATGTTGGTGATGTCAGCTCGTAGTTACGGCATGTTTTATTGAGAGGGAACACTCAGCTAGACATTCACGGAATGGTTTTATAAAGTAAAATATTTTCCAACTAGACAGAGTAAGGCTCATACATAGGGATGTTTTGTCGTTAGTTTGAGTTTTATAGCGGTACCAGGCTGTCTGCTGCAATCGTCTGAAGTCAACACTTTGTGGCAAACATTGCACCTGCCCACCTGTCAATCCGTCGCATCAACTTGTTGGTCGAGTTTCATGAGAAACACT